CCCCCCCCTCGAACAAAAAATTGCTTATGTCCTCTTCTAATGGTCTGGCGTGTTGGAGATTGAGATCTTGAACGCTATCGGTACACCCTGTTTAAATTTTTGAAAAGCGAAAAGGTCGTTTTTCTTGCAAACTCACTTATGTACGAAATTGGAACAACCAACTTTAAACGCGATTATCTCGATAATTCTCAAAGCCGCATTAATTACATTTTGTTTGACGCAGTCTCACATGTACCGTATTACACGAGATCTCTGCAACCCTGTAAAAAGTACTGATTAAGTGATTAGTAAAAAATCAAAAATCTGTAAAAAGTTTGAACCCATGCCCAACTCCAGAGCCAACCATCCATTCACAAATAAAAGCATGCGTATTCTAACAATGCGGTCTGTGCCTCATTTAAACAGCCAGAAATCTAAAGCCATTGACGAGGCTAACGTGCACGGCATATCTACAGAGCTCGCCAAGAAGTACAACATTCACCGCACGACGCTGTATCGATGGGTGAAACCTCAAGTAAAGATCAAGGCTGCTCGCCCTACGAAGAAGTTTGCGGTTGATACGCACCGAGGTCCGTCTATTAAGTATCCAGAACTGAGAAAAGGTATGAACATTCACTTTTTTTCTTTTTTTTAAATTTGTCATTCTAACCAACTAGGAGCAGGCTTCTAGAGTGGGTGACTGATATGAGGCGCAATAGGTCATGATGTGTCACTAGTGAGTGTCTCCTGATTGTAGGCGGGCGCTTCGAGCCACGATTGCTCTATGAGAGAACAGAGCGTGCAGCAGTGGAGTATTTGCGGCGTTTTAGACTCCGAAACAGGTTCTCCGTACGTCGCATCACTCACCGAGGTACTAAGCATCGCTCAGATTTAGAGGTACACTTTTTCTATTATTATTTCTTGTAATATCTTTTGGGTATTAATTTGTACATTTCGATGTAGACTGTTGCTACTGCTTTTGGAGCAAGCATGCACTGGTCGACTGAAAATAGCAGTATTAAAATCATGCTTTCCGGGACTCAGCAAGTACGAGCATGTGTACAATATGGATCAAACTTCAATCTACATTGATATGAACCCAAACACAACGATCGCTTTTACTGGCGACAGGAATGTAGACGTCGTGCAGTCGATGTCCGAAAATGCATTCCGTGCGTCAGTATTTTTCTGCGCGTCAACGACAGGTAAAAAAAATGCTGCCGCTTATTGTTTTTGCCGGCATTCCTAACGCCGACGTGCGTGATGAGCTTACAAACCACCCTTTGCATCAAGATCGTGTTATACTCACGGTGCAACGGAAGGCGTACTGTGACGAATGCGTGATGCTAGAATGGATCGATGAGGTAAGTTTTATTTAAGCTTTCTCTTTTGATGTTTTCTTAAATAAATATTTTCTGCAGGTATGGTGTTCTGATGCGTGCAATCAGAGGCTTTTATTGCTTGACAGTCTGAAAACGCATAAAATGGCTAGTGTGCGTGCTAAGCTAGAAGAAGAATATTGTACCGAAGTTGAGTTCGTCCCCCCATGTATTACAGGCCTTGCCCAACAGATGGATGTGGCTGTGATGCGAATGATTAAGTCAAGGTGTCGAAGGCTACACGTAAACTACCACATTGACCATGAGTTTCCCGATTATACTACTGCGCGTGTTTTTTTTATCACACAGATCGTGATACTTGCGTGTTAGAGCATTGAGGACGAGCGCATTGATCGTTTTTTTTTAAGGCCGGTCTTTTACCCGCGGGTCCACGTGAGCCCGATGGCACTTTTAGGAACCTTCTGATGTAGCCGAATCAGCGTTAGATCATGGGTCTGAATATGTTTTTACTTTTACATCTTTTGTTTAAGATCTAATTATTATTTTAAACACGGATGGGTGTCTGTTGTGGAGGGTGTGTCACTTCAAACCTTTTCGTCGTGTTTTGACTTTTTACGTTCGGGTTGCATCAATTCGTGGTTGCAGAGATTTCGTGCAATACTGGTACGGTATACACTACGCGACAGGATAGATCGGCCATAACTTCGTCAATTTTAGGAGTTGGAGCTTGCCATTTAGATATGTTTTATAGCTAATTCAGAGTAAGACGGTGCTTGTCTGGATTTAACAGTCTATCAGGTGGCTAGCATACAGAGCATCGCTTTTGGCACTGCGACAGATTATATCGGTCACCCGATCTATCCTGTCGCGCAGTTTATACGTCCCTTGTTGGCACAGCCAATCAGATTCACCGAAAGCGAAGCCATTTGAGCCATTCAAATTATTACGTGCGTGTCTTATCACTTTAATATGGCTGGGGGAGACGAACTGTCGGTGTCGACGTTGTCGCTTGGAGACGAAGGCGTCCAGGTGGACGAGAAGCTTGATGCTGTGCGTCAGAGCGTGATATCGGGTGATGTGGAACAGTTTCTGGCAAATGCGGGTGATATCGGGGACAAGTCGCCGCTCGTGTTTCTCATGGATTGGCTGCACACTTGGCAACAGGAGTACGAGGCCTTTGTGCACGTCCTGGGCGTGCAAGAGGAGACTGAAGATGGACAAGAACCCACGGAGACTGAGAAAGACCTGGCCGAGATGGAGGCTGAGGCTGAGCGGCTTATGAAGGGCTTCGGCAAAGTGGCGACTGCGCTGCTGCAGCGTCTGAGCATTAAGAACCCGGACACCGTGGTGGACCGCCACGGCTGGACACTGTTAATGCAGGCAGCTAACTCAGGACTGTGCGAGCTGACAGAGGAGCTGGTGGCTCGCAAGGCTGACGTGAACTACGGCGGCACAGCCAAAGACGCTTCCAACCCGCTCTACTTGGCTGTCGAGTCGGAACACACTGCTGTGGCCTTGCTATTGCTTAAGAACGGTGCGATCGAGTCGGCTACTAAGCTCGTCACGACGCCTTCAGTAGGCGCAGAAACTGGTGATGACGACGATGACGCGGAGGACGATGACTGCGCACTGTTCCAGGCCTGTCGCTTCGGCCTCTTGAGTGTCATCAAGGAGATGCTCGATCTTGATGTGGACGTCAACTTCGCACTTCCCTCAACAGGCGATCGTGCTTTGCACGTGGCTGTGATGTTCGAGATGCAGGAGGTGGTGGAGCTTCTGGCTACAAGCGACAAAATCGACTTGAATGCGCTGAACGAAAGTGGCCAGACGTGCCTCTTTGGCTGCTCAGGCGTTGAGATCGTCAAACTGCTTGTGACCAAGGGCGTGGACCCCAATATTAAGGATATCGACGGCGAGACGGCTCTGTCGATGGCGCAGGCGCTTGGTGACGACGAGGTGGCCGAGTACTTGGAGACGGTGGCTCAGTAGTTTTGTACATTTTTTTTCTTCTCTTTCGAGCAAGTATTGCTGCTAACACAAATGTTAAGATAGATTTCTTTCAAAACGAATATCTTTGGATCCACTACACGTTCGAAGCTAAGCTCCCAGCATCATGACGGGTTGGCGCAGAGTAGGTTCCAGGAATTCTGGAAGTAGGTGTTCACTGTTGTAGTCGTCCAAAAGATACTTGAGCTTTTCCCCCTTTAGACGAATTTCCTGGTCGTGAGACTTTAAAAACATGCTGTCTCCGTGTGCTCGCAATGCCAAATACAGCGACAGCCATGTTTCACAAGCCGTGCCAACGCATTCCATCGGCTTAACGCCTTCCTCATCTAGCAGCGAGAGAAATTCGGGAAACATCGACTGTTTCTCGAACAGATTTTCGCCAAAAATCTCCACCAGCTGAGCTTCCGAGCACCACGCGCTCATGAGAATAAACACAAAGGCGCACTTTGCACACTTGCAGCACCACTTGTCGCCATCAGGAGCTTCGTTGCAGCTCAAAAAGACGGGGAGGAAATTCTCAGAGCTCCCGAGAGATCGACTCGCAAATGTCCGTGCGATTTGGACCTCCCACAGGTGTTGCAGAGCCGAAAAGTAGTGTAAATCTTCCACCAAATACTTGCGGATATAGGTGTGTACTCGTGTCTCAAAGTCAAAGCTCTTGTCGTACTGGTGGTTGACTGCTCGACCCTCGTGGACAACGTTGTTGCCGTAATTGGCGCTACGTTCATTGCCCACTGCAATATGGGTAAAATCACCCAAAATGGCTGCTAGTACGCTGTCAAAAGCCACCAGAGCAGCCCACGGGTGACCTGCCGGCTGGTATCGCGTACCCGCAACTTCACTTTCCCATATCTTGTCATCCATGTTGTGTTCGAAGCGGAATGCTGAAGCACCGGTACGGTTCTGCGTCATCTTCATGATCCTCTTGAATCTCCAGCTGCGTTCAAACTCCCGTGGGCGGTCTCCAACATGCAGCCACGCACAGGGCGTTTCACTCGACGATAGCAGTTGATACACCACGAGTGAATCCTTGCCACCACCTCTGAAAGCCAACCGAACCACTAAGTCAATCACCCAATGCCCCAATTATTACCTACAATACTTACAATGGAACTAGAACTTTGGTCTTGCCTTGCTGTTCCAGTTTCCTGTCTGAAAGCACTGGAAGAGCATCACTAGCTGATGCATCTACGAGAATGCGTAGACGATCACGATCCAACCCGTGCAAATACAGATACTCGCTTAATACGTTCT